ACTAACACTCCGATGAAGGGAGAAATGATTGCAGAGGTCAAGCTGAAGGCATTGAGGATGTAGCCAGAGCTCGTAATATCTTGATTGTGCGCGACTTGCAAATAAGATTGGTAATATGAATCCCAGCAGCTAAAGATGGCTGTTAATACAGGATTGGCATGGAGACGCCGTTATATCAGTGTCAACTTACTAGATGGAGGCGAACATGATACCGTATACCAAGCAGGCGCCCAGAATGGTTCTATCCTTCAAGAAGTGGTACGGGAACAGGGAGACTTTGGCGAAGTTTCTCTCCCATAGAGCGAAAAGAGCCAATCCAATGACACCAAAAACAATCAAGCAGATGATCGTAGGGCTCTTCCACTGATGGGTGGCATTGGAGACAAGAGAAAATGGTAACAGAAGCATGGACCATCCGGCCATCACCAAGATCAAGCCAACAACTAGAATCATTAGCAATTCAAGCTCCGAGGGGTGATTTGTATCTTTGCAAGTAGTTGCTACGTACCGTCAAATTCGATGAAGTAATGCTTGGTAGATTCCCAGGTAGACCGGGTCTTCTGCTTAAGGGGGATCAAACCAGTCTTCTTGGCTTTGATCTCGCTCAAGAAGAAGATAACAGCGACAGGAACACTGAAACCGATCAAGATGATGGCAAAGGCGCCGAATGCCCAGCGGAAGTTGACCTCATCATAAAACAGCTGCGCAATCTCAGGACCGGCAAAAGTCGTGGCTATCGTCGGCGTGCCGTTCAAAGCGATGATAGTCATACGATTTCTCAAGGAAGTCATATCGGAGAGAACGATAGTGATGATGTAGATGAGCCCAAGATGACCAACCCAGAAAATAGTCTGCGCGGCAGCGTACGTCTCAACGTTCTGGCACGTAGCCTTCATGATCATGCCGATGGTGACGAGGAAGACCATGCCGGCGAAGCCTTCCGCACGGCCGCGAATATCGATAATCTTGGCGATCGTGAGCTTGGAGACACCGCCGAGAATCGTGGAGACAATGCTGGTAGTCGCAAGCAATCCATGCTGACCGAATGAGGAGGTCACGTAAGGCGTCAGGTTGCTCTGGACAGATTGTAAGAGGCCGTCGGTGAAGGAAACGAGGTACAAGCTGTGTAAAACCAATTAGGCGTCGACCAACAGAATTCCATGGCGGTGGTGGAGAGCCTTCGCAGGGGGAATGATAATAACTCAAAGACTTACAGGGCAAAGACAACCCAGAGCATCTTCCAAGACCACACTGAGGTGATGGCCTCCACCTTCTTGACACCATCTTGCTTGTGCTCGGGACCCTCCTCATAGTCGAGCTTCATAGGCTCGGCATGGATATCAACCGAGTTCTGGGCAGTGCTTTTTTCGATGTCGTTTTCGCCGGCAACATGGTTCTCCTCAGACACATGAGGCGTTGTCGAAGCGTTGGCGGCCATATTGGTTTCTACGAGATCAGCGACAGGCGGGTGCTGTAAAGAAGGGAACGCACTTTGGATGCGCAATGGACGTCTGAGCCAACACAATAACGATTGAAAAGAACGGCGCGAAGAACAAGAACTTAACAGATATGCACGGCGAGCAGATGGATTTGAAAAGATTTATATTATCGCGTACCTGCAATGTCTGACCCATCGCTGATCCCATATTCGGACCCACGCTGTTAAGAGATCATCACCAATACACATGTATGCGGATCCAGAGCAACCTCTCATCAACAAGATATGATTCGTCCAAAGGATCTATTGTCCGTGATGGAGTGAAGGACTAGACGGAATACTTGCCCCTAGCGTCGATGTCCGGCGAAGCGGGAATCGCTCCTTAAGCCGGCGAGCCGGCACCGCCACTGCTGACCGACCGCAAAGTGACGTCTGTCGTATCCGGTTCTCAGGTTGCCGCGGAAGTCGAGTCCGCTCACTGGCTCGGCGTCATCGGGACCCCCATTATTTCCTCGGGCGGGCTCTCAATGTCGTTGCGGTTGCTGGACAGTTATCAGATGATCTGACAAGGTATGTGGTGGAGAGTGCGTCCACTCGGGTTCCTCTTTTAGTTGCTGTCGAGTCAGGGGCATCCCAGTTTACGAGGGAAAATTCTCATCGATTCCCTCGCATGCCGAGCTTGCTGTGCCTCGCTGTACGAGAAGAGCGACTGAGTAAGGAATCGGATCTCCATAGTAGAATCCGTCATTCTCAACCGTATGGAATCTTGGTCGGGATCTGGAACATTGTCAGTCACAATTTGGAGCCTGGGCTTTGATCAACGCGGGTCCCTAGAAGCCTGCCTGGCCATCATCACCTTTGCCATGTAAGTCGGAACACCCCCATTCGGCCACCCCCCCCATTCGGCCACCCCAAAAATCCCTCCTAACTACCCTAATTAAAATCCTACCCTTAATCTATAAACTACTATAATAATTATAATTATTATCTAAACGAATTTCTTTTTAATATATATATTCTTTATTATATTATAGTATTATATATTAAAAATAAAGTTATTTAAGTACTTAAAGTAATTAAAAATAATACTTTAATTAAGAAAGCTTTAATTAAGTTTAGAATTTTAAAGAGTATATTTTAAAATTATTAACGAGGTTAATAAGCTAGGGTAATTATTTTTATAAATTAATAAAGGCTTCTCTCTTAGTAAAAAAATAGGCTAGCTAAATAGGTTCGTATTTAATATATTTTAAAAATTATATTAACTTATAAATAAATTAAAAAATTCGCTAAGTAAGTATTATAAGCTTAGGGGGATAATTATTTTTTTAAAAAGAAATAAATAGATACTTTTTTAAAATAGAACTTATTTATTAAAATTTAGAAAAGTCGTTTTATAAATTTAAAGCGTATTAATAGAGTATTTATTAAAATAATTAAGCTCTAATTCCGATTACTTAATATATTAAAAATTAAGGATATTAAATAAGTTAATAAATATAATATAAATAAAACTAATATTTTTAAAAATAAAAAATTTAATAAGCTAGTTTTAGGTATAGTTAAAACTAATATAATATAAAAAAAAAAGCTTAGATTACGTTTTTAAATTTCTATTATTAAGTATATTTTTATTAATAATAGAGCTATTAAACTATTATTAATTTATAAAAAAAAGTTAGTTTAATAGTAATAGTTCCCCCTTAATTTTAAAAATTTTAATAATTAAGAGTTTATAATAATAAATAATAAGTAAATTATAAACTAAACTACTTTTATATAGTTAATAATTTTTTTATTATAAACTAAGCCCCTCCTTAACTAGGGGACCTAACTTATAATTAGAGCTTTAATTATTAATTTTAAATAGGTATAGGAGTTATATAATAATAGAATTTATATAAAAATACTATTTTAATAACGTTTATTTATTATTTTTATTACTATATACTTCTTATATTCTCTAATTATTAAATATAACTATTTTTAATTTTATTAAAACTTATTATAAAAAGGAGCTTAGTAAAGAGGATATAGTAAATAATTTTATTATTATTAAAAAGCGGTATTTTTTAGTTTATTATATTATAGCTCGTTTACTTAGTTTAATAAGGGATAATATATAAAGTAATTAAAAAATAACTAGTTTATAATTACTTAATATAGCTATATTTTTTAATAATTTTATAGTATTATTTAGCCTAGTTATACTATTAAACGATATTATTAATACTAAGTAAATAATTATTAATATTATTAAAGTCGTTAATTAGACTTTTATAATGTTTATTATTAACTAATTAACTCTTAAAAAAGCTAGTAATTTTTATAAATAATTAAAACTATTTATAAAACTTAGGCCTAATTATAATACTTAATATTTATTTTTTTATAAAATTAAAAAAGCTTTTAATAAGAAGTCCTTTTTATTAACCTTATTTTAATAATAAGTTTAAGTTTTAAAAACTAAAATTAAGTATATAGTTTTTTTTAAAAAAAAAGAGTATTTAAATAAACTTAAATACTAAGTTTGCTAATATTAAAAATATAAAGAGGGCTTAGGAAGATATTAGTAAGCGTTTAATTAGTTTTAGTTAAACTATAAAAGTCGAATTACTTAGTAAAAGTAGTAATTATATTATAATAATAATAGAAAGTAGTTAATTAATTAACTATAGTTAGTAGCGATGTGCTTAGACCTATTTTTAATAGGGTGGCCGAATGGGGGGGGTGGCCGAATGGGGGTGTTCTGACTTACCCGAGATCGCAAGACTGATGCTCAGGCACCAAAAAGGTCTTGTTACTGCTTAATTGAGCCTCCAGCCCCTGCATCGGGATTGCTGGCAAATGCTTCGCTCCCGCCGCTAAGCCACTCGCTTCAGCCAACTTAATTACCGACTGCAAGTAATCCATTGTCGGTTCCGGATTCCGACGCTAACAATAGCCTCTTCTTGCCTTTTCAGAAAACTGCCATCTCCCCATTCCAGAGGCCGCCATTGGATGACAGACATTGATTCATCGATCAAGGATACTCTTGGAAACTAGCATCGTATCAACGTCTCCGCCACGCTTGAGGTATTCAGAACTATTGTGACATAGTACTGCCATGTTTGGTTCTGCAGATGATTTATCAATGGTGAGTTGTCCATGTCACCATGTGTAGAGAGTGCAAAGCCGAGAAGCCAACACTGTAGCCGAAGTTGGAACGATTTGATCGGAATATCGGGGCAGCAGCCATTTCCTGATTAATTCCCTCACGAAGTTTGTGCTCCACTGAAGCTTGGGTTCTTACTTCCGAGTTCCATTGTGGACTACGCTCAGCTTGCCGCCACATTAGGCTGACAATACCTCCTGCAAGATGTCTCCAGCAAAGAATGGGGCATTTGACTCGTGGCAACTATTCCCGATCACCCGCGACGGCACAATCCGGTGATTCTTCCAACAAGTGGTCAATGACATGAATAATGGGAATCGTGATTTGTGGCTTTCCAGCCTTTTGTGCCTTATTGTCTTGAATTAGCCCGCATTATCATTCATTTTGCCTTTCCTCATTCGACAATTGCTATGTACTTGCTCGTGAAGCTACGTCGCATAGAAGCTTGGTTGTGACATAAGCCTTGTGGTGGCGGTATCCTGGAAAGCTTCCCTCAAATGAGTTCATCACAGCCCTGATTGACTGACTGTCATGTTGAGCTGCTGATGTATGCCTGTTGTAAGCGACATGGAGAAACAGGGAATCTAGGTTCCATGCGACCAAAGGTAGCAAGTGCCTGAGCAGACAGTCAAAATACCATTTACTGGCGTCAGAACATTGATCAATGGTTACTTACGATCTCTGTAGATCACTCCTGTCAAGAGCATTCAAGACTGCTACCAACTTTCTAGTCGCGGAAGCGCAACTTGAGACAACGAGCGGTGTCTGATTACGGAAGGCTACGTTGTCAGAGAACGAAACATGTGAGAAGATTGATGAGCGAATGCAATTTTCAACCTGGTGAAAAGTGCAGAAGATGGTAGACAGCCATGGCACATGCTTCTTGTCGAGGTCTTTCGGTATCAAAAGTGGCCTGGTGAGTGCCGGCAGATTATGTCTCCACAAATTCAACTCATTTAGAAGCTGATGGCTGATTTCAGCATGTAACTCTTGTGACATTGACGAGGAGGCAGGTGAGCGCAACTTCTCGTATGCTTTACTTTGAATCTTAGCCAAAAGAAGCTGTTCTTTGAGGCAATTAAACGATGTGCCGTCTTGGAGATAAATACTTCCATAGCCATCATATTGTTCTTGCTTTGGAACATCTCGCACGATGTCTGAAGATAACAGCGGTGGCTTCCCGAGCCATAAGGAGAGGTTCTGATCAAGTATATAAGCATGCGAGAGCAGACGATGATTGTGGATTGCTCTTTCGGCCAAGGTGGTGGATATTTTGTGGAACCCGGCGAGAAACATCATTTGAGAGGCAACGCCTAGTACCATGGCTGATGTTGACAACCTTGACGTAGACGAAAGAAATAAGGCCTTTGATTGTTAGTAGTCAGCTAGGAGATGAACAAGAATCTGGATCTGTGATGGCATACCATAAGAAGTAAGGCGCCAATTGTAACCGAATCTGGCGGCTCTAACATAAGTGATGGCAACATATTCAGCGCCGTGTGTAGACAGCGTTCTGAAGAGTCAACCTCTTCTATGCTATTAGATTGAATAGCGGCGACTGATCGAGCATCGCGCCCGTGCCTCGTCGGACGAGTTGATAAAGAACATCTGGACAAGAAGCTTCAAGGCCCAAAGTTGTACAAGGCCACAGAAACCTTGAAGGACTATTTGTATGACGGTATGACGGTGTCGTAGCCAAGGGAGCGACCGAGAGAAAGCTTTCCAATTTGTTCTCGACTCGCTCTAATGACCGTATGAGATCATGGCGAGATCTACGTGGGGGCAAATGTCAGCGTCTATAGTTGATTCTCCATCAGTCTCGCCCTAGCATACTTCCGGCTTGTGGGTGCTCGTTGTCTTGTGTATGCATAATCGCATTCAAAAGTCTTAGCCAAGCATTGTGAACATCGTGGCACAGCTGCATCGCACTTGATCTAACAGATGAGGTCGGATTAGCTATCAAGAAGAAGTTCCCTTGCAAAGGGATTACTCTCCTACCTTCCGCTTTCGGCACGGCGTGCAAGCCCATCTAGACCTCTGAGTCATGATGGGGTAGGGTCGTCTTGCTTGTTCCGACGGATATGATTGACCAGAATGTGCCGACGCAGTGCTAAGGAATAGGAAGTTGTCTTTTTGTTCCGTGGTTCAACTCGTAAACACATCATGAGTGATTTCTGGCGATGACGGAGTTCAAGCGGATATTGGAGTCAAACTCCGCAACCAGAGAGTTGTTCCGGTACCCGGGGGCCCGCGTCATGGGAGTGGGGCCGTTGTTCCGATCCCCTAATACCCGACACCACAACTAAAGACGTACAATGCTGAAGGAGAGCCGGAGTACTTAAGGAAAAACCCTAGCCTGAGATCAACTTTTTTGATATCTTGACATTGTCCTCAGACGTTCACCAACGCTCCGATGTTTCTCAAGACTCACAAAGTAGCAGTGTTCGGAGCTGTTGGGGAGTCTGGGGGTATTATTGTCAATGGCTTGCTCAAGTCAACATCTCCGTCTTTTGTGAGTTCACAAGTCTCGGTTTCCATTGGTTTCTCAAGCGCATAATCCCACAGAACTTATGACTGATAAGTCTGTAAAGGAAGTCACCGCCTTGGCCCGGCCCTCGTCAATCTCAAAGCCAGCGTACGAGGAGCTGAGAAAAAGAGGAGTCAACGCCATTGTCGTCGACCTTGACAAGCCAGAGATTGAGATCGCCAACACCTTGAGAGGATTCGAAATTGTAGTAGCCTCGGTCCACCCTGCCGGCATAGCGTCTCAAATAACACTGGCTAGAGCAGCCAAACTAGCGGGCGTCCAACGCTTTATTCCCAGCGCGTTCGCGATGGCTGTCTCGCCAACCGCCAAGTCTTCCGTCCAGAAGACGGTATGTCAGAATCTCACGGATTGGTGGGCTTTACGATATTTATTATGTCGGTTTCTGACGTCCAATTGCAGAAGGAGTTGGTTTACGCTGAACTTAGAGCCATCGACCTACCGTTCACAATCATCGACGTCGGCTGGTGGTACCACGGGTTTATCCCTCAATTGGCTTCTGGGCGAACTGACTATACCGTTGTGTTGCCTGAGTTTCTACGAAATCTAGTTCCCGGTGACGGAAACATGCCGACACACGTTGTGGATTGTGCGGATATTGGAAAACTCATTCCTCGCATCATTGTGGACCCAAGAACCATCAACCAAAAGGTCATGGCCTCCTCAGCGACGATGTCTTTCAACGAGATGTTCGCCATAGCCGAAGAGCTTTCCAAGGAGAAAGTCATGAAGAAAGATGTAAGGCGGCTCCACGAGGCAATCATTTGCGCTTTGATAAACTCCCACTAACTACCTCATTCTCGCCAAGATTTCCGCGCAGGGATTGCAGTCGATGATCGCAGATTTTGATGCACAGCTACAAGGGAGCCCTCAAAATGCCCTTGCGGCAATTGGAAAGTTCTGTTTGGAGTACTATTATTCATCATTTATAGATGGAGACAACAGTCCAGACGGAGTCAGTCGCCTAGGCTATCTTCTAGCCGCTGATCTCTACCCCGACTTCCAGCCAGCATCTTTCCAAGATTTCTTGTTGGAAGTGTTCAAGGGCGACATTCGGATTCCTTATTCAGGAAGATAGGTGTAGAGATCTCAAGTGGCGGCACGTCAACTGAACTGTCCAAGTGCTTTTCACACAATCTAGGACCAAGCCAAAAATGGCCACTTTTGGAGTTGCTGAGTGATGCCTTAGTTGAGTCAGATGAGCGAGACAGACTTTTGTTATTTCTTGAAGAGCTTTCAGGCACCCGGCAACTCAAAGCCAATTCCCTCAAGCCCACTAAGAGTACGAGATTGTGAGAGATATTACATCTTTGCATCAACAGGTTTCGCAGAAGTTGATTTAACTCAGATTATTGTCATTCTTCTTATCAAAGTCTACGTGAAGCAAAGACTGTATATTCAAGGTCCGATTGATTTATCGTGCGACATCTCCATCTAACGCTACGTGTAGTATTGATAATGTCTCCCTCGCCAGAATGCATCATCACTTTAAAGGAGGCTGAAAGATCTAAAGAGACGCTCATAAAGATCAAGAAAGGGAGACAAGCTTCGAAAGACACCGACTGAACATAGCTGCAATAGTATGGATGCACTGGCGAATAGCAAAAGGTATGCCTGAGCAGCAGACTCAGTCCTAATTCCAGTTGACACCGCTGCAACGTCGCTCCAAGAATGAATGCGCTGGTGAAAGTAATATGCTGGGGATCATGACGACAATGAAAAGGTAAACGAAGTATGGAATCCGGAAACGATAATGTATGGGAGCGAACGGCTACTATAGTAAAGCATGGTTTATGTAAGAGGGAATGGATGGAATGGAGGAGGCACAATGTTCTACATGATGATTTTGAACTTCGTAGCATAGCCTTTAGAGACAGCTTGTATTCCATCAGGTTTATGCGTTATTGTTGTTTTTGTCGTTGTTGTTGTTGACGTAGGCTACTACAAGAGTTTACAGGCATAGCTGAATTTCGTGAATTTGCCATCACATCGATCACGTGCATGAGTTAGGTCATCGCGAGGTATGGAATCGAAGGCATTTGCCGAAAGATACCCCAACTGTAAATACAATTGACTTCAAGCAACGAGTGTGGTGGCTCATCTCAACAATTTTCGTGAAATCTATGCCTCACTTTCTCAATGTCGTCTCTTGAATCAAGAGAACGCATGATCGGGGTTTCCTCGTCATAGCTTTGCAAAATGTGGATGATTTCTTAATTTGTCTGAATTAGAAAAACTCATAGGCCTTTTCTAAACGAATCATTATCGACTAGCTCCCCACCGCTGCGTACCTGCACATCGACCTGGGTAATAACTTTGAACGTCTGACGGGACAGTACAACGCCAGTAATCTCTCCATTGCTTCTTAAGATGAGGCGATCTTGAACATTATTCCTGTCGTTGAGATGCCTTGCCACAAGGTGACTGTGTGTCTTACTAGGGGCTTTACTGTAAATCTCAGATTAGTCGGAAGAATCATAGAACAAAATCATTCACACAACGGGGCGCAAACATACTGGCTCTCGTAGACTGAAGAGCAAGGCATGATTGTAGCTGTTGAAGCAAGTCGCAATACCCCCTCTGGTCGTAACTTGAGGATCTGTGGTCGGTGATTGAGTAGCTCCCGATAACTATGGGGAAACTCAAATTGCGTCTGGAGAGAAATAGCCATGACTTTAGACGCAATATAAATACTTGGAAACATCGCAACAAGCTTTTACTGATCAGCAGCATGGTTTTCAGAATCAAACGCCTGAGATGTTATCTCTCAATTTAATGAATTTCAACTGACAGTCAATTGAAAAAGTTCATACATAGTCTTCGACTGAATTTCGATTTCGTGAGATTCAAACTGACTGAACACAACTGACCAACCAATCGGGCTCTCATGCGTCCTTGCAGCAAGTCTACAGGCACCCCTGGTCCGTGATAACAGTGTAACTGAGTACGTATCAGCCTCATCAGCGAGCAAACTCCATGCGGCTCCAAGTACTCCAGGGTGGTGACCCAAGAAGCATTCCTGTGGATTGAACGAATATTGAGATTCGTCTGAATTTTCAGCCAGGTTTCTCACCAAGTACCTTGCAGGCAACCACCGTGCCCAGCTATTCACCGAAAACGCCTTGCCAGGCTGGGAGATTCAGGCAACCGGGTTCATTGGTTGACTCCAACCCAATCAGATGTGTTCATACCAAGTCGACTGTACTGAGATTATGCTAGCCAATAAGACCATCGGCGCTACTGCTGTGCTACGCCCTGTCTCACATTTGGCTGCAAGTCCTGGTTTCCCCGTTGGGTTGCAGCAAATTGTAACTGAATTTCAATCTTTTGAAAATGAAAAATGGCCCAATCTCAGCCCTTGCTACCTCACCCTTGTCATAGCCATTATCTTGATGGCACGTGTCGTCGCGGTAGCTGATCTTTCGATCGGTTCGGGCTCCCCATTTCTTTCCCCCATCTGATTTCCTTGACAACTTGATACGAGTACGGCAGCTTCCTTCCTTACCTCACTGAAGAGTGAATCCACGGCCCTGCTCACTGTTCTACCTTCTGTTTGCATATTGGTTCGCAATAATGAACGACGAAAACGAGGCAGCAATTGAGGGTGTCACCTCAACCAAGAGCCCACAAGAACATACTATATATCGCGGTAAATCAGTCGAAGTTCCTTCAAAGCTAGCACTTCGCCGACAAAAGACTCACGTCGACGACAACCATTCAGTTGGGACTATTTCGACTTCATATTCCAAGGCCCATTCTGCTACCTTTTCGGCTCCTCACTTCGACTTCCACATGCATTCTCCATCGGCGACGACTCCAACCACATCTCGACCTCAAAGCCCAACAAGGCTGACCTCTGCGCCGGGCCAAGCCATGAAGCTTGGTCTTGTTGGTATCGGGGAGCATGTGAACGCATTGCCCTCAGGCAAGTTCGCAGATTTGCCAATTCTTTCTCGAGATTCCCGCCTACCAGAATCCCAGCTCCCCTCTGGCGGAGCTAGTACTCCGACTGGTATCTACAGCGCGGCTGAGTCACCGATTAGTGCTCGAGAGTCCGACTCTGGTTCTGATATCTGTCGCTCTGATTTTGATTTAGAGAGTGCTGCCAACATTGCTTTATCCCGTTCTCTTGGAGTGTGTCTTAACCGACTCAGTCACCCTCTTCGTGTCATCGAGGCGTTCTCCAAGTTTAAAGATCAGTGCGTCGAAATTCTGCAGCAAGAGGAAACGTTCTCGACAATTGACTGGGATGATGACGGCTTTTCCTGCTATGACGTCGAAGAGGGAGATGCTAGCGACGGCAACTCGGCATTTGATGAGACATCAAATCGAGCTCAACAATCAGAGTCAGGAACAAAGAAGCGACCGGCTGAAGAGCGAGGCGGAGACGATGGGCACGACGAGATGGACGAGAATGCTGGTCAAGACCAGGGCCCAACAAGAAGAGGACGCAGCAAGAGACGAAAGATCGGGCGTCCAGGGGGTTTCAGCTGTCCCTTTAGAAAACGCAACCCCTGGAGATTCAACGCCCGGGATTTCGATGCTTGTGCCAATAAGCCCTACAAGCAAATGGCAGAATTAAAGTAAGTTCCAATGTTCTTGCAATACTCCCACAGCTGATTCCGAACATTGGATGTTTTCTTCCACGTTGCTATCTTTGGACAAGGCCTGACTCGGCACAATCACATAGGAGACATATTAGCGCTGAGCACGGGAACCAGTGGTGTACTTACTGTGGGCAACCGCGAACGGCTGGAGACCACCCGCCTGAAGTTTGTCTTCGCAACCGACAGTTAAATCCTAATTCCGAACCAAGAGATCCCGAAGATGGCGTGGACAGTCTCAAAGATGAGTCTCTTAAAAGTCGTGCTGCCGGCTGCAAAATTCAAACTTGGGGGCAATTGTGGAATCTGCTTTTTCCCGATGATGAAGAGATACCTTCGCAAAGTGTGTGGCACTAGCATTATTACGTAGACAGCTGCTGACGACGGTTATTATAGCTTTTGATCCTGTGATAGAACACCACGACATAGCCGCTGAGGGATGTGAGACTTTCGTCCTGAAGACTGCCGAAGACATCTTCGCTTTTATACCACAAGGTTCTGGTCTGTCATTACAGACCATTCAGGAGATCCTACATAGAGGGACGAAAGTTCTTCTCCAAGGCTCCAAGTATGCTGACTATGAGCGTTACAAGATGGTGGGAAACAACAATATGATGCAGATGTCAACACCCATGAAGGGCAAGGCTGCTGTTTCGGTGATTCACAGTCAAGTCGACGACGTTTTCGATGATGGCGAGTCGCCGGGTGTAATTGTCACACTACAATCTTCGCCCCAGGGCGCACCTGTGATATACAATAGTACATCAACTGGTTTGAAGTCCTCTTCAGTAAGTTCTTGCATCGGGTTCACGCTGTGATCCTCATACTTACACAACAATGAAGATTGGCCGCGAACGACTGATTGCACCTAAAGTTGAGCGAGCCCCCACGCCAAATGTTACCCAGAAGGTGAGTTTTGCCAAAGGTTATTCTGTAAGTACTAACATGTCCAGACTTGTCCAGCACCTGGCGTGTTGATGCAGAATGGGCCTCCCATCTCCACTGGAGGTCATCAACCCCCCATCGTCTCGGATCTACCAGCTGGGGACACTTTCGATTGGCCAGGCGTGGACTTTCAGAACTGGGATGGGGGCTACGGGGACGAGTTTGTGTGTATGGAAGGTGCGACCACCGAAGATTTCTGGCCGTCATACATGGTCTCAAAACCTGGATCAACCTCCCAGACATTCACTAGTCCGGGGAGTCACAGCTAGGCCTAATTATCGTTTCATTTGATCTTTCCCTGGTTGTGTAGGTAGTTATTCGTAGTGATTTTATCTAGATGCTTTTTTATTTCAAGTACCTTCATTACGGGCCGTCCATCGAATCTCACACTGTAGACGGACGTGCGACTTAGACTATTATTATGTGTTTACCATTGAACTGGAGGCGGATAGACACTGCTCTCGCAGAACCCTCCACGGTTCCATAACTCTCTCGCGTGATCTTCTCTCTCTATCTCGAGAGCGCATGCCATAGCCATCTACAAACCGGGCCTTCGGATGTGCACCAGCAGATTGCCGTTGCCCCACGCATACTCTTGGCCCTGGACAGTGTTGTCCGCACGAGTGCAGCTGTCCATAATAAGACCGCCGGCACGGGCAACGTCGTTACTGGGGCAGAGGTATCAGCATTATGTATCTGATGTCACACAATTAAGAGATCAGGGGCCAGTTCTCACCAAGCTGAAGAAGTAGAGGCCGCGTTAGTGCCTCCCTTGACACCGGTGATTTGAGCATTGCCAAGGAGACAGAAGACAGAGACAGACGAAACAACGCATGCCTGGCTACCCTTACGGGCAAGGTCGTTGATGCAAGATACCGCGTCAGGGACCTGGTTCGGATCTATGTCAGCGGTCTCGATCCTATCAAGCCAGGGTGCTGCAAGAGAGAAAGGGACATACGGAGGCTTCAGTGCCGGCAACAGTGTTGCAAGTGACGCGCTTCTGGAGAAGGCTGTTGGTCGAAGTGGTGCCGTCAGACTCGGTGGCGTTGACAGATTCTCTCCAGGCCTCGACAGCCTGGCTGGGAGTCAAGTTGTCTCCTTCGGGGTTGGCAATAATGCCATCGACCCACTTGGCGAAGGAGAATACTTCCGCGGCATCAGACTGGGTCGCGGTGGGGACGGCTCCAATGAAGGGAGCCGCGGCCAAGACAGCCAGGGTAGAGAGGGCAACGTTGACCATCTTGAAGAATTGAGCGGGCTCTGAGCTTGAGTCTTGATGAGATGAATGCTAGTGCTGAGAGTAGAAATCTAGACATTGGGAATGGCTTTGCTCTTTTATAGCTAATTGTGAGAGCAGACGGATAACTCTTCGGTGAAGCCTTTCTTTTGGGACAAGTCTCGAGACGGGTCTGGGCGGAGCTGCATGCTTGACCAAAGTCCTTTTCAAAAGCCTCAACCGATATGTATTCTCCACAGAGCTTGAAGTAAGGTTACATGTAAGCTCACTGAAAACAGGGGTCTCGGTCATGTCGGCTCAGCCTTGTAGGTAATGCACGACTATTCTTCGCGATGGCCTATCGCAACAGTTCTCGACCATTCGTTCGAGGATAACCAGGCCTTCCAGACAACAACGGCGTTATGTGAGCCTCGCCATCAGTGGACAGGTATGCACAGGCTTAAGTGCACATTTTGCCTCTTCAAATGCATGGAAGACCCGAGATCACGTCGTCACAAGTTCTCCCAGACAATGATGGAGTTGTTACCCTGCGAGGATGTCGAGGCAGCAATCCACTTCAGGATATATCTTCAGTATAGCCTTCTATCCACATGAATGTCTGAATGGCAGTGTCTACTCTGTTCCTTCAAAGCTTAGTCTGAGTGAAGAATGCTACATGTCAAGTGCCGTAGAGAAGAATAGGAAGGTCGCGGAAAGAAACCTAGCAGGGCAGAAGCTTGAGTCCACTTAGCTTTCGGGAGTACTAACCGACAAAGATCAGCATGCGGTCGGCGAACTGTCACATGCAGGGAAAGCGGGCCTGGATATATAGAACTTGGAGGAACGACCCATGAAGGATACTAATTATCATGAACCAAAGTCCCTATCTAAAAGCGAGACGATGTGACCTCCAATGATTGGATTTTAAGCGTGTTATTTGGCGGATTCATGAGAGACTTGGTCGGTGCTCTCCTGCGGGCCGTAAGACTGGGTCACAATGTGGAAAATGGACCATCGGGCGGTCGGGGCGGCCGCCTCCAATGCCCCAATTTTAGTCCAGTTCGGGAAGTGATACTGACGCTTTTCATGGTCGCGATACCAAGCAGGATGGGGCTGTTGCGAAAAAATATCAGAGAGAAGGCTGCCAAAATCTCCGCATATCGGAAAGCACCGAGTTGTGGAGTGCGACTCCGACCGCTCACAGGGTGCTTGAGGCAGCTTATAACGAGATATCAGACGACGAGAGAGCGGGGCCAAAAATGTTTGTGAGAGTTTTCAGCGGTGTAACCGATCAAATGGGACTTTCGAAAACCAGTGCCCGGACCTTTGAGTCTAGACTCTAAGACTCATCACTTCCCAGAGGAGCCTCAAGAATGTTTGCGGAGTTTCGCTTGGGATGGTATTAATCGCTGGTGATGAATCATGATCTACTTGCTTCCCTCCCTCGAAGCAATCACAGACTTGATGTGCAGCTCGAAATCCCCATCCTGCTCAGCAAAGAAACTATGACAATGTTAGCCCCAACCCGCACATTCGCAAGAAACAGACTTCACTAACCTTCGAATCATGAAGTTGACCCTCTTAATGCTCGTCAAATTCAGCGGCGCAGTATCATTCTGAACCCGTCCGCGGAAAGTAGGCACAAACGCGCTAAACGGCATCACCACCTTCTCGACCGCGCCGTCCGTGTGATTCACCGCCGGGATCTGGAAGTCAAACTCCCAGCTGACGCCAGACTGCTCCACGCCATTCACGGGTGGCGGCACCGTATCCTTCAGATTGAACGTATACTTCTTGCCGTCCGTGAACGGGATCTCGAGGGTGATGGTGTCGTACGCCGAGATGTCGAGGCTCGGCCAGTCGTCGACGGTGCGCTGGGACGCGAAGCCCGCGCCGCCGAGCGTCGCGTAGTCGAGGTTGCCGTGGAAGTTTGCAATTGACTGCGCGAACGGGTTGCCGGCCGCGCCGGCTTCGATGATGTCGAGGGTGGAATGACTCGCGCCGTTGCGGACCGTGTCGTCGGAGGCGATCCATTGGCTCTTGTCCCAGGGCGTGAAGAGGGCCGCGGAGGCCAGGGCGCGGAAAGCGACGGGGATGTGCATGACTGCTGGCGGGTGAACGGGTGAGATGGATGGCTGGTGTGAGGAAACGAGTGACGAAGGTTGGATCAGCAGCGGGATCGCGGGATGGTGTATGAATCCCAAATGGCTGGGCACGTCGCTTATTTAACGCTGGATTGTCGTCATTGTCCGTGTCCACTTGTCATGTTTATTAAACTTTGATTGCCAAGATTCACGCTCCTTTCTGGCGTGCCCCTCGAAGCAATCAAGGGTTCCGGAGCAGTCCATCGTGGGTTCATTTACGTGGTAAACTCTATTCTCGTTGTCAAATCCCAGGCTAGCGGTTCACCCGAATTGTGGAGAGTGTGCAGCAACGAAATGTCATGGATCTGGGATCTTCGCTTTCGTTACTTTTGTCAATAAGACAAACACAGCCGCCAAGCGCGCGCCGGTAGTGCCGAGGAAGTCTGGGCATGTCGATTGAGCCCCCTTTAAAACCCCTATTGATGGGGCGTTTAAGACATCCGCCTGCCAATTGATCCAGCCCTAACCGGTGATATCAGAGGCATTCTTCGGAAGATGAGACGATATTGGCGGGCGGGGAATTGATGTGCAGAAGCCAGAGCAAGTTTCTTGTCAGTGAATGCCTAAAAGCCCGTTCCTCGATGTCTTGGCCCATGACAAATCATGCCACCGTCATCAGTCACATATTGCGAATGGACATCAATGGTTATAACATGATGTTATGCTATTTGCTGTTCTTTTCCTATCGTACAATACCCAGGCCATGACCTCGAACCGTTCAACCCCCGGATCCTCCTGGATCAGCCTGAATGAATGAAAGTCAGAGCCTCTAGCTCATTCCAAAGAAAACACAAAACTTTTGATTGTCCCGAACCTGGTGAACAAAACCCTGAAACCACAAAACTGCTCATCACACCTCATGTTAGTACTCATGTTTGGAGCTTCTAGCATGAAATGGCTGGGATGAGAACCGAAGATGCCGAGATCTTCGCCCACGACGTACTTAGACTAGATCACCCTTCAAGAGTTATCCTGAGTCTTGTGGGCGCGACGTTCTTTACGGCCATGAGTCTTGGTACGCCCGCCGCCACGACCTTGAGCGTGACGCTGAGCAGGGTTCTGAGCAGTATCTTGAGCATGATCATGAGCATGAACATGACCGCGGTTCTTGCCACGACCACCGCCACGGCCCTGGGCCTGACCTTCAAGATGAACCTGATCACGGTCCTGAATGTGGTTCTGAGCGTGACCCTGAGCACCGCCGTTGTCTCGACCGCTACCACGACCGCCACCACGACCGCGGCCATTAGTCTGACCACGTCCGCCGCCCTGAGCTCGACCAACACCACCGGCATGGCTGTGAGTATTCTCGCGGGTAGCATCAGCGACATCGTCACCGCGCTGGGCCTGGACACGCTTCGGCTGACGGTTGCCAGCCTTATGATTGCGTTGAATCTTAACCATGTTATCGCGATCACGGCCTTCTCCGCCCAAGCCACTTCCAGCATGATTGGCCTTGTTCTTGCCCTGCTTCTTAGAAGTAGCACGCTGTCCGAGGTCGTTCTGACCAGTGACCGGGTGAATCTTGGCGCCGGGGATGAAGGTGCGGTACTGAGTGGTGTTCTTGTGCTGAACCTGCTCGACGATAGCGCGGAGACGGGCGAGGCGGGTGCGGTTGTCTTCATGCTCCTCAACGAAAGGGAACAGCTTGATGCGGTCAGCAATTGAGCACATGTTGTCGACGCGGCCGTTTCTGATGTCCTTCTGTTGCTTGGTTGAGTTCTCGAAGACGAGCTGATCGGTGATGAAAAGCTTCTTGGCGTGGTCAAATCTGACCCACTCGCGACCGATGATGATCTCCGACTCCGGATCCCAGACAACGTGGCGAGAGACATTCCACTCTGCAATGAACTTGGGGCTCATTATGTTCCAGAAATGCTGGACGAGGGATGGGGTGTGTCTGGTGAAC